CGAGCGGAGAGCGCGGGGCTGGCCGCCCTCACGGCGGCCCGGGGGGCAGGGCGAACCCGCAGCCGAGCGGGGGAGCGGGGCTGCGGATGTGCCCTACAGGGCAGGCTCTAGGACCGCGGAGGCCATGGGCGGCGGCGCGGCCGGAAGCGGCGTGCTGGGCGCGCCAGTTCAAAAGAGCGCCGGGGAGCCAGGAGAGGGGTAGGAAGCGGGGGCCGTATTAAACCGGAACACAGGCCGCAATTGGCCTGCGGGCCAGACTTTGGACATGCCTGCTTTACACACAAGAATGATACATACACCAAAATACAATAAACAGATCCAGCAGATTGTGACATTAAGATTGATAGGTCACATGAGGTATTTTGTCCAAAGCATCTTTGTGTTATTTGTATCCATAAGACAATTTCATAAAGCATGGGTGGGCGGGGGGCACAAAACCATCACACCTGGCAGCAGCAAGAAACAAGTCAGCTGCTAGTGAATCAAGCAGCCTCTGATCGAGCCCTCCTTCGAGAGGTGGTGAGCCAACTAAAGACCCTTACTGCCTGGACTCCCAGGCCCAGAGGGATGGAAAACATGTCCCAGGGATGATTCCTAACCAGACTTCCTTCCTTGAAATTTTTGCCCTCTAGGAATCAAGGAAAATCTTCATTTAAAGAAAGTTGCCTCTCTTCTCCTTTAATTGCATCCTTAGGATTTCCATCAGCACATGCAGGTTGGACCTCCCTGGTCTGGCATCCTCGGAACCTGAGTGGTCTCAGATGAGGGAATTTGCCGGACCAGGGGAGGCCCCCTGCCTTGCAGCCCACTGCCCCTCCTGCTGCTGGTTCTGCTTCTGGCACCGACGCCCAGCCCCTGGTGCACTATGGCCAGGCTCAGGCTCTAGCCCCAGCCGGGGCTCCTGGCTGGCTCCTGATCCCAGCCGCTGGGGACCAGCGAGTCCCAGATTTTACTGTACTATACACCCAACAAGCTTGGAACCTGCTGTGAAGCCACTATCCTGTTAAAATCCATCACCTTTTTAAAGTACCGTGCGCCTCTGGATAAAACCCTTTTCACAACAACTGTTTTTCCAGACAGTGAACCATTCTCCCTCTTCAACAGCACTGACCCAACTCTCTAGGGGTATGTCTACACTACAAAGTTAATTCGAACTAACAGCCGTTAGTTCGAATTAACTTTAATAGGCGCTACACAGGCAAACCGCTAGTTGGAACTTAATTCAAACTAGCGGAGCGCTTAATTCGAACTAGGTAAACCTCATTCTACGAGGACTAACGACTAGTTCGAATTAAGTAGTTCGAAAGGGCTGTGTAGCCCCTTAATTCGAACTAGTGTGAGGCTAGCCCTCCCCAGCTTGCCCTGGTGGCCACTCTGGCCAACACCAGGGAAACTCTTCTGCCCCCCTCCCGGCCCTGGAGCCCTTAAAGGGGCACGGGCTGGCTACGGTACCCGTGCCAGGTGCAAGACTGCCAGCACCCAACCAGCAGACCCTGCACCTGGCACGGATCGAGCCAGCCACCTGCTGCTCCCCACCCCCC